GGGTCCTGTGGCTCCAGCAGAATCTCAGCATCCTCCTTTGACGGCGTCTCTTCGTAAGGTGTCATCGCCGTGCCTGTCCTAGCCATGCTCGTCCCCAGAGATCGCCTTCAGCAGTGCTTCAGGCAACTTTGCCGGAAAGCCGAAAATGCTGCGTTGCCGTTCTTCAAAAATGGAAATGATGATGGTCTTTGGATATCCTCTGGACTTTTCTAGCAACGTCAACTTTTCAAAGGTGCTAGAAACGCGGCTGAACACCAGCTAGAACAGAACTTCAGAACCCTAAACACAGAGCTTGACACTAAACGCATCTAGGCTGCTGGGCCCCTGACCCATGGCTGTTTTCTGAGGCGCCTGTGTGTCCTGCTGGTGCTGGTTCACTCGTGGTGCCGGTGCTAGTGCTGCTGCTGCTGCTGCTTCTGCTGCTGCCGGAGGTGGTGGTGCTGGTAGAGGATGTGCTGGTGGTGGTGGTGGTGGTGGTGGTGGTGCAGAAGCAGAAGAATAATAAGAAGAGGGAGAGGAAAAATCGAACAAGATAATGATGATTATGATGATGACGGCATGATGATGAATCATGAGCAACATGAAAAGACGGTGGTAGGGACACTGGCAGTTCACACAGTCGTGATAACAACAAGACCTATGAGGTATACCGGCAACGATGACGAAGCCAACACCAACATCGACAACAATGAAAGTACATCGGTTGGTCGCGCTCGTGGCTTCGTTGGCATAAAGGTCATGGTGATCATAACAATGCAGATAACATCTACATTACAATCAACATAGTAATAAGCTGCTCCTTCATCTTCCGCCCGTCCTGGTTCAGACATCCCGCTGCGAGGAAGGCAGGAAGACATCCGTCCAAGGCCTTGTATGCGCGGGATTCATCGGTCAGCTTTGCTCCTGTGGGGATGCAACGAGATCATTGGTCCCTTGTGCCGGGGGTCCAAAGTGTCTTTTCTACCCCCATTCTGAAGCTCGTTGCGGTCATTGCCGCCAGTGATGTCAGAAAGCTGCATGGCTGCGACTGGTGCTGCTTCAGCTAAACCTGATGCTTCTCTTTGTGCTTCTGCTCGTGCTGCGGGGAGTATGATCATGGGTGTCTAAGACATCCCTAAACCCGCTTCTCAGGGCCCGAGGGGCTCTGCTCTGAGGACCAGGCTGCCTGCTGCGGCAGCTGCTCCCGATTGAAGGTGGGCCGGAGCCCCTTGGCGATGTGCTTTCAAACGAAGTCGAAATGCGGGAAATGTGCAAAAGATCTTCTGAGATGCTACA